GTAATTACTGGTAGATATTTTCTTAGCAAGCAGTTAATTTTTGTATCACATTTTTTTCAAAAGCTTTAAGCTTGAAGTGTTGATGAAATATAATGTTCCTTTAATCTTAATCAAGAGCATCAAAGTCTGTCTTTAAGAACTTAAGGTATATCATTCCATGAACTTTTCTGTAACTTTAGATTTTAGTAATAATTTATTTGCTCTGCTTATGTTGGTTAAATATGCCAATACACGTTCTTAAAAAGTTAGCAATATGGTAAACCCTGAAAGGCTTTGATTAAGTTGTTGTGTGGTACAGTCAAAACACATTAAATATGTAGATATTTTAGTTTTCTTGTATAATTGAGTGTCACTGTCTTGTGGTGCTAGTGGCAGTATTAAGTCTCCATCTGCTAGCACTCCGGTTGTGTCACAACTAACAGCACAATTTTGGTCCCCGTTTCTGAAAATCAATGTTAACAGGCACCACACTCTGTATGTAGCTAGGTACAGCACACCAAGTGGGGCATGATTCGCCTGGCTAGAACAGCTCCTATTCTTCTCAAGCCTGACTCAGACATTTTGTCAGAATGTTAACATAGCCATTGGTTATGGCCAGGCTGGCAGGCAAACTCTGAGCTGTAGAACTACTACCTGGACACACTGTGTAAATGAGGATAAAATTTAGGAAAGGGATGCACCTACATTCCAACATATTTAACTGAAGCCAGGGACGACACCAGATCTAAGTGAGATGAGGACTGTCCACCTGATTGGATTACACATGGTGTAGCGATATCTTTACCCATCAATGGCTTAGTAGGTAAGACACTATGGATGGTTGGTGTTACAATGCCGATATACAGAGATGTATTCTCTGTAGTGTCGTGTACATGTTTCTTCTGTGTGTGATGTGTGTAGCTGTTTTATCTCCCCTAATTACATGCCATTAACAGCATTAGCAGGTCAGTTCCAATTCTAACGATAAGTAGCAGGATATATTGTGATAACTAGAGTTTGTTAGTAATGCTCTTATTGCAAACAGCTAGGATTTGTCTTGTCTTAGCTACCTCTAATTGAGCTGTTTAAGTGTGGTCAGATTTATAAGAAATTTGATTTACTCTGGTTACTGGGCAATTTGAAATAAAGTCTGTTACCGTCTTGATTTCCAATAAATATACAGGTGCTTTTAAATTAAAACTTTACCTCCGCGCTGACAAATGAACAGTTATGTATGATGGATAATTTCTATGTCAAACATGTTGATAAAATTTTTATGAAGTATATATTGTAGAATCTTGATTCCATTGTGTTAATGTAATTCCAACTTAAATGTTGATAAACAATTTATGAAGTTAAAACTTTGTTGCAGAATAAGATACATTCATGACAATTTTTTTCAGTCAAAATTACCAAAAATATTTTGAAATATATAGATTTAGTGTTTTTAGATGATAACAAATATGATACATTAATTGGAAAATAAGTGAGTGTGCAGGCTTAGTTATATACATTAATTGGATAATAAGTGAGTGTGCAGGCTTAGTTATATACATTAATTGGATAATAAATGAGTGTGCAGGCTTAGTTATATACATTAATTGGATAATAAGTGAGTGTGCAGGCTTAGTTATATACATTAATTGGATAATAAGTGAGTGTGCAGGCTTAGTTATATACATTAATTGGATAATAAGTGAGTGTGCAGGCTTAGTTATATACATTAATTGGATAATAAGTGAGTGTGCAGGCTTAGTTATATACATTAATTGGATAATAAGTGAGTGTGCAGGCTTAGTTATATACATTAATTGGATAATAAGTGAGTGTGCAGGCTTAGTTATATACATTAATTGGATAATAAGTGAGTGTGCAGGCTTAGTTATAACAAATTGATGTTTGTTTGTTCTTACTGATTACCTATTGTTATTGTGATAAATTGAGGTGATCAATTGCCCCAAACTTAAAAAGTGTTTAGAATAATAGACAAATAAGCATATGTTTTATAGACAGGATAGATAAATTTATATATAAATGTATGTCCTGATCCTGAAGAAGAACCTGAAAAATTTACTTTTTCTCTTACTTTATATAAACATGTAGAGGATGGTGTCTCATTTGATGATATATGATAAATAGGGAGGGGACGGGGAGTTGATTGTAGAACTGTTAATCCTTTAAAACACTTACTCTTCTGCAAAACATGTTAATTGACTGTTACGAAAAAAACAGGTTTCATTTTGATCTTTGTAACGTTATACACTGTGGCAAAACCAGCCCGTGAAAAGCACATTTCTGCTTGTGTATTGGGGGAAGTGAGCACTGACATATCAGTATGCAGAGTGTGGAGGGAGACTTATTATGATTAATGTTCGTTAAAATCTTTACGAATCTTTCAATTATTGAGATAGTCTTGAATGATTATCTTACCAAAATGTGAAGTGAAACAATGTTGTTCTTTCACAAAATAAATGGAAACATGCAGTGTTCCAATATTTACCAATCGCTTAGTTAGTAATACAGAGTTGGGGCCTTGAGTTGCATCAGCAGGCGCATACACAATGTTCTGGCAAGAGGTGAAAAATTCACACTGCACATCAGTGCTAATTAAGTGGCATGGATGTGTATAATTTGACGCTATCAATTGGTTATGGTGGTCATTTACAACCTGCTACCCACAATCTTTAACCTCAATATCAATAATGACCACATGGAGTGATTATTGTAACACCAATGCCAGTGGTTAAACAGGCAGTCTCGCAATATGTTCAAACTATTGAAAATGTATGTGAAACAAACTAGTAAGGGTTCAAATTATCACTAGACAAAAAGTTAGTGTTTTTATTGAAAAAAATCATGTGTTTGAGCTCCCTGCCTATTCAAACTGATCAGATGTTAACCATATTTCACCAGTAGGACAAAATATCAGTATGTCTCATGAGTGAGAAGAGATAAGAGTAAAATATACATGGTATTTAATGAGAATTGTCTTCTCGTTACATTTAAAAAGGTGCACTTAGATCCAAATATAACATAAAATGATGTTCAAAAAGTTTGGGAAATAGCACATTCTTTGTCATCAGAAAGTTTGACATTATCTTTAACATCATGATGACATCATTTTGATGAATTCCTACATGTCACTAAAAGAAAAAAAAGAAAGAAATACTTTACTGCTTTGGTGATGAAAATCAGGCCTTTACCTCAGGTGACCTCTATTGTTTCTTTTATCTGCCTCTGGAAATCATGTTTTATTTCAACTGCGATGCTTCTAAAATATAACCAGTTTTATTTAACTTTATACACACAATTCAGAACCTTTGGTAATGTATCACAGTTGATGTATATCATTTTTTACTTAGGATTTTAAATGCTGCTCCTGTCAATACTTGACCTGCAATCTTGAGTACCCACTTATTGATGAATACATGTAATAAGGAAGGTCGTGCATTATTAGTTTCTGTTCCCTGTCAAACAGATGTGTATAAAATGAGGACAGTTTCATACTAGTTAAAGTTTATAGTCTCTTGCCATATGTTTATACATATGCTTAAATGTTATTTTCATTTTACTAATAATAACCATAACTTTAGTGTGCAAATACAGTACCTGCACCCATTTTTGTAGCCCAAAAATAAAAATTCGAAAAATCCCGCCCTACTTATATTCCAGTGAGTTATTATGACAGAGATATAGAGTGATCTCCCTTCCTCTTTCCTTTATGGCGCTGTCTTATGGCTGACGTTTACAGATAAGTTCTGTGCTATCTTTGTTTTTCAGCCACTCAGATCGTTCCAGAGACTAATTTAGTTGTGGTGGCACTTGATCCATCATGCACATCAACATCTTCATACTCTTTGTCCTTTTCTATCACTAAGGGACCTTGTGCCAGAATATCGTCCTGATGTAAAAGCATTTGAACCCCAAATGTCACATGACCTAGAATGAATATTTAAAGGACGTCAACTGTCAAGGTCAGAGTATTTTTTCTGTGCATATCTTATCTGATAAATATCTGTATTTAAAACGTGATCAACGAAAGTGCTCTGGAATTCTAACAACTTGAAGATCACCAGTTGAAACATCAAGGTTAAATTTTTTTTTCTGATTGTCAGGAATGGTTATTGTATATGACCTACACGACAAAATAATAGTTCCCTAGAATCAAATGAACCCTTCATCCTCGATACTCCAGGGATTATAATCACTTTTGATCCGTGCACCCCTGGAACATTTCCTGGCAAAATAAGGCACAAACAAAGTAATGTGTCTGGCCTAGAGTAGGATGAAAATTTGACCAATCACAGACTGATACATCCTCTGAAGATTCCACAGATGGGATACACTTCAAACCCACTACAACATACTGTTATGCAACCTTGAGATTTGTTTGATGTACGTCAAAAGATCAAACTAATCATTCTAGTCTTATCCAAAAGGTGTCACACATGAAGCCTTCAATTTGGCTGCAAAATGTCCCTGGGGTTCAGAGAGTCATTTGATTATTCGGCAAAGTCACTGGGATAAATATCATTTGTATCACAAATATTAGAAATTGATATATTCATATATACACTGAATAAAGGTCAAGGTCAAACAGTGAAAAAGACCTCTTATGGGATTGTTGTAAAGGTCAATGTCAAATAAAATAAGTCTTATGTGCAGTAAAGGACAAGCCTGTCAACGTCAAACAGAAAAACTTGTATAGGACTGTGATATAGGTCAATCCGAAGTATGAGACTGTGGTATAGGTCAATCCGAAGTATGGGACTGTGATATAGGTCAATCCAAAGTATGGGACTGTGGTATAGGTCAATCCGAAGTATGGGACTGTGGTATAGGTCAATCCGAAGTATGGGACTGTGGTATAGGTCAATCCGAAGTACGGGACTGTGGTATAGGTCAATCCGAAGTATGGGACTGTGGTATAGGTCAATCCGAAGTATGGGACTGTGGTATAGGTCAATCCGAAGTATGGGACTGTGGTATAGGTCAATCCGAAGTATGGGACTGTGGTATAGGTCAATTCGGAAGTAGGGGACTGTGGTAGAGGTCAGTCCGAAGTAGGGGACTGTGGTATAGGTCAGTCCGAAGTATGGGACTGTGGTATAGGTCAGTCTGAAGTATGGGACTGTGGTATAGGTCAGTCCGAAGTATGGGACTGTGGTATAGGTCAGTCCGAAGTATGGGACTGTGGTATAGGTCAGTCCGAAGTATGGGACTGTGGTATAGGTCAGTCCGAAGTATGGGACTGTGGTATAGGTCAGTCCGAAGTATGGGACTGTGGTATAGGTCAGTCTGAAGTAGGGGACTGTGATATAGGTCAGTCCGAAGTATGGGACTGTGATATAGGTCAGTCCGAAGTATGGGACTGTGGTATAGGTCAATCCGAAGTATGGGACTGTGGTATAGGTCAATCCGAAGTAGGGGACTGTGGTATGGGTCAATCCGAAATGGATTAGCTTTACTCTTATGTGGTAACTATTGTGTCATAAAAAACAGTTATGTGGGCGTTTTTACCAGATGCTGCAAAATGTAGTTTAAAGCTTATACATACTTAAATGGGGTCTCAGAAGATTACACTTAAACCTTAACAATTGGAGATGGGGTCTCAGAAGATTACACTTAAACCTTAACAATTGGAGATGGGGTCTCAGAAGATTACACTTAAACCTTAACAATTGGAGATGGAGTCTCAGAAGATTACACTTACACCTTAACAATTGGAGATGGAGTCTCAGAAGATTACACTTAAACCTTAACAATTGGAGATGGAGCCTCAGAAGATTACACTTAAACCTTAACAATTGGAGATGGAGTCTCAGAAGATTACACTTACACCTTAACAATTGGAGATGGAGCCTCAGAAGATTACACTTAAACCAAACAGTTGAAATTGGGGTCTCAGAAGATTACACTTAAACCAAACAGTTGAAATTGGGGTCTCAGAAGATTACACTTAAACCAAACAGTTGAAATTTGGGCCTCAGAAGATACAGTTAAACCAAACAGGTAAGATTGGGGCCTCAGAAGGTTACACTTAAACCCAAAGAGTTTGAGATGCGGTCTCAGAAGGTTACACTTAAACCCAAAGAGTTTGAGATGGGGTCTCAGAACGTTACACTTAAACCCAAACAGTTTGAGATGCGGTCTCAGAACGTTACACTTAAACCCAAACAGTTTGAGATGCGGTCTCAGAAGGTTACACTTAAACCCAAACAGTTTGAGACAATTAATCAGCATCTGTCCATGAAGTAAACAATGTGAGGATTTGTGACACTTATTGTAGTCTGTTTGATGCCTTTTGTAATAGACCAAATTTAGTTCATTATATTCATGACTGTCATCATTCTTAAAAAGAATCTGCTTGTATTATAAACATTATAGGAAGGTAAAAATCCTGGGGGTAAATACATTTTGTCTATTAAACATTTGATGATAACATAATCAAAATGATAAAGACAGGACAGAAAATGAAAGACTTGTAGAAGCTGAATACTTTCTCTGACCCAACTTTTTCTAAACAAATAATCATTTCATATTCAAATGGGATGGAAAAGGATGATACTGATTGACAGTCAACATTAGTAGATTCTGTATACTAAAGACAGCTGCTTACTTGCTTACTTGTACTCTATAGAAGATGTATATTATAGAAGGGTAACATCTGAGTGCCGTTATTATCAGGGTACTTAGTTTTTGTTATTGCCATCATTAGCATATCTTGATGTAGATCTTGCTATAATCGGTCATACAATTTCCGAATCTTCTAACTTAAATCAGATTATGTGTATTTCAACTTCAGATAAACTTACTCTAGTATAGATATTTTGACATTTGATTTCTTGTGCTCATCTGGTGCAAAGTAGATGTGAGGTTACCATATTCATCAGATAGGCTCAGCAATGGGTAAACAGAATATAACAGGCTGTGACTCAAAGTCAGGATTTGGCTTTTTATATGCGCAACAGTAAAATAGCAATTGATGATAATTCTAAATACATTGGTACATTTTTATGGATCCTCAAAACATTCACATAAAAAAGCAAGGGTGAAGCTACAGCTTATATTTATGTTGGTTGGCAGCCATCATCGCGTGGCATCATACTTAATATTTCTGGGCAATCATTTTTGTTTAATTTTTTTTCTAGTGAGTCCAGAGCCCCATTTCTAAAATTTTGATAAGTTCAATAACTTAGAAATATAATGGGTTCTTCAAAAGATGAGTGATTCCCATAGCAAAAGCATAAGTCCAGGATTCTAATATTTGATTCCCAAAAATCACTGTGTGGGTATTTCTCTACTTAGTAAGTGAGTCACTTTAATAGGAATCTTAGACACAGAGACAACCGTGTGGTAGTCATGGTTGTGTGGCACCATAGTGAAGATAGGAAATGTCAGTGATTAAATGGAATTGTTACTGGTTTGGGTTTGTAACAGATGAACAACATGAATAATTGTATAACTAGGACCTTTCATCCAGTTATGTGGCTGACCCCCCTGTGTTCACGAGGATAATTGTATCGTGAACATCACACTGCCGTTTACCACCCAGTGTTATCTTGATAAGGTAGGTATTATTGATCAAGGAAAGATTTGATTAGTACCTTTCTTTGAGGTGTCCTGGAACTGAATTGCATTGTCTCAAGTGCAAATAGACCACTTAACGTTGCAAGTGGTTGTACATCACCTGCTTGGTGGACTGTTCTTCAAGAACTCTTTAATTTATCAGCATACTGTAATACTTATCATAAGTATATCTACCTGAGTCAGTCCTGTAATATCTTTCAAGATTCTCATTTTAACAGTCTATCAATCTATATATATCACTTCTTTTTTTTAGGTCATCTGACCCAAAGGGTCATGATGACCTATAGCCATGATGCTTTGTCAGTCGTCATCCGCTGTGCTTAAACTTTGGACATTTCAAACTTTTTATCAAGTTTCACTGGTGGGATTGAGCTCATACTTGCATGAAATGATCCTGAGATGGTCCTCACCAAGTGTTGTTATTTTTCTGGTATGTCTGAAATCCAAGATGGCCACCATCTTGAAAAACATTTTAAATTTCATCTCCAATTCCAGTGGTGCCATTGAGTTATAAATTAGTGGGAATGTTAAGGAAAGGTAGCCAACAAAGTGTTGTTATTTTTAGAGAATCCATTTTGTTACATGATTGTGCAATCATGGTTTTCCTGTGCAAAACCTATTTCAAACTTCTTCTCAAGTTTCACAAGTTGGATTGAGCTCCAACTTTACTGTCAAATAATAGGTAACACTTGTTACAGTTACCTACTCCTCACCATCTGCATCATGGAAAACAGCTTCTTAGTAAGATTTCATTAAAAGTAGCAAAAATAACCCTTCTCCTTGCTGAAAGTTTTTGTAGTCAGATGACCGTTAAAGCTCATGGGCCCCTTGTTGTACTTGAAACACATGCTTTAAGAAGAGTATCCCATTCTTGACTTGTCCTTGGGATACTGACCAATGTTTTTTTTTTTTTTTTTAAACTCTGTGTGTGTGTACCTGCTTTATATCATGTTTTGACTTCAGCTTTGAGGGTGGAGACTTTTGTAACAATGAAAATGTGATACTTCTAGCTACTGTAGATCAAATATAACTGTTATCAACAACATCAATTACATTTATGTATAGAATGACCACTGAGCTTGCGTAACCCCGGATCACATTCCATATTACGTTACAGTGACAATTGCTAGGCACTTCAAACATTGCCAGAACACTATGTTTGTTGAAGTCATGCTAAGACAAAAAAAACTGCAACAAACAAACCAACACACTAATGACATTAAAAAGATATAAATAGACCATAAAAATATTTGTGATAAACACCTGTCCGAGTTATCAATACCCTGGGTATACAAACTGCTGGACTTGAAATTTCTACTGTTGGCAGTTGGAAAATTTACCGTATTTGACCTAAAAAGTGCACAAATTTACCATATTTGACCTAATAAGTGCCAAAAATTTACCATATTAAATCTAATAAGTGCACAAAGATTTACCACATTTGACCTAATAAGTGTGCCAGTGCCCCCTGTTAGTACACCCCCACTTTTATTGTTGGAAAGAGAATGGGTTTGCTAATAAAAACCTATGAATGAATGCTTTGCCTGAATGATCTGCCTACTTCATCTTCAGGTTTTGACCAATGACTTTATTTTTAAACCACCAGCAATAAATGAGAGGTTGTTACTGTCAGTGATCGGCAGTTATAACTACTAGCATAACAATATACCTAGATAGATTACAATAAACCTGTTCCAATATCGATTTGTCAATTTTGAATTAAGAATCAATAACTATTGTCAATTGGATCATCAACTATTTATTGTTGGTTTTCAAGATTGAATTTTGAAAACACCTCTTTCTTAATTATTCACATAAATCCAAACATAGGAATTCCTGTAATCCCAAAATAGAAGTGCCTGACTCTTTACTTCATTTCATTTTGCAAAAAGTAATATTAGATAAAATATTAATCACTCTCCTGCACAGTTTGTGGGTAAGTCACTATTAACTTGACAAAACCCAGGAGCGCGGTTGCAGAATTCATAATTTTGACAACACTTCATAAATAAGCTGCCGCATCAATGAAATTTTGAAGAGTTTTATACAACAGCAAATTCTATTTGATTAAATTGTTTACATGGATCGTTTTTGCTACATAAAGCTATGTGCTATTTTCTATCCAGATTTTGCAATGAAGCTTTTCCTGTACATGGCTTTATTAAACATGTCCCTTTTGTTATTTTGTTATTGGGCTTATTAGGTCGAATATGGTATATATTATTATGGAAATTGGTATGATACACCCTCCTTTCAATTGTCAGTGCACTGGTATACTGAGCTCATTTTTGTCACAAAATCATGTTGTAAATATATTCATGCACACTGGACTGGATTTGCCTCGACTTTTGGTTCTAAGCTACAATTGATGACCCAGAAGCCTTACTGATATATATACCTGCATATGTTGCCATCGTATATATGTACATGGAAGAGCCAAATTAATACTTTTGCTAACAAGTTGTTACTAATCAACATCATATGCAAGAAATCAGTTTTATCTTTCACTATTTTATTGTGATAAAATAAATAACTGTGTACAACTGTACCAGCTGGTAATCAAACATGCTGCAGTATGTTGTAATCAGTGATGGACTCAGAGATGGCATTTGATGTAGAAAACGTCAGGAAACCATAAATGTCACAGGAATATTTTGAGAACAGACAAACATATGTTCCTTTTCATTGTCAGTCATTGGCCAATATCTGATTTCAATGAAAACATGTATATAATTACGTGCAGGTAAATTTTTGTACATTATTGATAAACCAAAAATGATTGGACAGCTGGTGGTGTAGACAAAACACATACTAGTTGTTACAGTATATCATAATGTAACATAACTCCTTTCACTAATTTTTTTCTACAACTAAACATTTATCATTTAGTTGTTTTTACTGAATCACAAGAAACTGACCAAATTGTTTGAAAACAAAATTCAATATCATGAATTTGTCCAGTTTAAAAATTGATTTGGTTGGTTAGGGATTTGGAAAGATTATGTGTGATTCTTTTTCCTGTAACACAACTGTAAAATATTGCTATCGAGTCTGTATAGGTATGTGTATATCTGTTCTGTGCAACTGAAGAGGAATGTGATAGCAAAAAACAATATGTATTTACTTTTGTATTTGCCGTTACCTAACCATGCTGGGTCTATAGATTGGTACATATTCTCTCTCGTGTCTATTCTACCTATGATAACTATATATATATCAAATCTTATTGCGAATTTGTTTTATAGGTGATATAATCATTTTTACTGGAGTTCATTTGTCTATTTAGGTCACCTGAGACAAAGTCTCATGGTGACCTATTGTAATCACCTTCATCTGACCTCATGCGTTGTGCGTGCGTAACCAATTTAACAATTTCAACTTCTTCTCAAAAACTCCTGATCCCATTTCAATGACATTTTGCAGGAACCTTTCCTGGCCAAAGATCAACCAAAATTCTGAATTATGCAGTCCTCAACCCCCTGGGCCATGAGGAGTTGGGCCAAAAGGTGTCAAATTGATTTGGATTTCAAAATTCTTCTTCTCAACTCCATGATATGGTAGAATCAAATGCTCTTCATGGATGGAAGCATCTTAAAGTACTTTACAAACAGTTATGAATTTGATGGCCCGAAGGGTCTCACATTTCCCTGTGGGGAGGGTGTAAAGATAACTATAGCTTATATAGGAAAACTAGATTTTTGAGCATAATTTGTTTAATTTCCATTGGAAATATTTCAAACTTAGTTAGATTTATGAATGAAGGATGACAGCTTGATGGTATGCACATTTTGATCCTGACAGGCCAACAGAAGCTGATGGGCAGGGCCAAAACGGGTCAAATTGACTTAAATTTTAAATCTTCTTCTCACCACCCAGTTAGTGTAGAATCAAATACTCTTCATGAATGGAAGCATCTTAAGGTACATTAATTACCAAAATGAGTCTCACATTTATTCATGGGGAGGAATGTTTTATTTTAGACTTTACTGTAATTTTCATAGAAAAATTGCAATTTTGAGCACAATGTAGGTTATTTCCCACTGGAAATAACTGTATAAGAATTATCAGTATAGGATGACAGTTTTGATGGTAGCATGTATTGACACTGTCTATATTCAGTATCACAATTTCTGTTTCATGACACTTGATAACTATCCTTTAACCTTTATATTCAATATCACTTATTTCAGGTGAACATTAAGACCACTATGCCTTTTGTTTTAGAAAATTGTGTGTGCAATGTATAAATCTGTAGTACAAGTTGCTTCATGTTCTAAAGAAAGAGATTGAATGGATTTCTTGCAAAGAAAGAGATATGAAATATTTATTTTAAAAAAAGCAAGATTGTGCGAGGGGGGGGAGGGGGGACACAATTTAATGTTGTGTAAGTGAAGATGGCAAATTATGTGACAGAAGCTAATAGGGAATTAGCAAGTGGCAGAGTCGTAAAATATTGAAATATGACTTTTTTAAGTGCTGTAGGTCTCTGAACTATAATTTGTGTAAAGGAAATGTGACTGTGAAAGAAACATATTGAGACTAAAAATTGTGCAATTAAAAAAGTCACTACTGATGTGGCCTGCAGTACAGCTATATTTCCCAGAGAATGCTGAAAAGCGTAAAGAAGAAGTAATAATGAACAGCAATTTATACGAAGGACCCACTGTCATGTCAGATGGTATTTATATGACATAAATGGTAACAGTTGCCATAGTATGCTGTGCCATTGCAGACTGGGGAGGGTATTGATCATTGGGTCAGGATTGCAAGGGAAGGCAGGGACTTGGCAGCAACCAGCAGCAATCCAAACTACAGCACAGATTCATTCAGAGGTGGCACTGCTTTAGTGGAATTTACAAAACCAACATATATTCTGGATTGGAGTCGTTCAGGTCCTTGTGCATAGATAAAAAGGGAATTGTTCAATGCTATATAGAAGACTTTCTCCAAAACAATATTAATTGACAACAATCTAGATGTTTTACTAGTTTTTACTGCGGTGGATGGTTCTCAAACTTGTGAGAGACGTATTATATTGACACCGTCGGATTTGGTTCAGATTTGTCTGTGCCATTGTCTTCCCTGTGGTGTCTGTAGGCGACAGTTAGGTCACTGTGTCCCTCCGCTAGTATTTTCCTGATTGGATTGCTGAACTAGCGAGAGTGTTGCCGTTTCTGAATTGAAACTGTTGTAATCCCAAGATGTCAGGGCCTCTTTGTCCTGTGACATACCCACATATCTGTAATTGCTGGAAATAGTGATTTGTAAAGATTATTTTAGGGGGTAGTACACTGATGCAGCGGAGTTTCTTCAGCCAGACATTGTTATTAGGTTGTCCTTCTGTTTTACAGTATAAAATTGGGTACTATAAGAACCCCATATCAGAGCTTCACAAAAACCTTTTGGTTCTACCTGTTGTAAGAAATCAATCATCTAGTAAAACAGTTTATACTGCCTGACCTATGGCAGCTGTTGTAACTCCTTAGTACTAAACAAATGTACATTAGTTTTCACTCCTAGATCATGTCAGCAGCAAGGCTGAAGATAGTGTAACCCTATATCTAAAACTTGATTTTTTTTGAGAACTGACTGCTAAATATAGATCAATACTAGAAGATGAGATAGATTTGTAACATCCTGACAAGCTGACTTAACGATCTTATGCTGTGATTCATTCGCCAACAGCTTTCAGCTAACGGTTTCAAAAGTCATTGTCGGTGAAGGTGATGCTTCGACTGCTGATTGTGACCTGAATCTGATCAATGTCCAGCCATGGATTATACCCATGGATTAAACCAAGGAATATGACAATTGTTGCAGTGAAAGAGACAATGTTTCAGTTGATTAACTTTAACAAATTTTAACTATTAGAGCACTGGAATTTTTTTTTGAAAATTATTTTTAAGGGTTATCCATGTTTGGATTATTCACTATCAACTCTCAAATTAAATCTCCAATAATAGATCCGCTCTCTGTTACTTTGTGAAACATCCTAATATACCTACAGAGGACATTCCTATACTTCAAATATTTCAGATTCCAGATTAAGCTACTATTGATTAGTTCAAAAGTGGAATTTAAATATTTCTCAAGTGTACAGTTTCGGTTGGATCCTTTATTCACCTAGTGCTAATCACATCATTCTGCGGGAAGATGGAGTATCACACACTGCACTAATTTACACTTCAGCATTAATATTTAAACATCTTTGAGAATTGTGCTCTGGTAGAAAATTCCATTTCAATTTTGTGAAGCACCACCAATAATTGACTTGTCAGTAGTTACATTGTAGTCTGTATGTGACAGCGTTCTGGGAGGTCAGTCTTTGTTACATCTGGAGATCCGACTAGATCTATGTGTATATAGATACAATGATTCGAGTACAATAGGTTCCACCAGTGGGATTTATTCTCCTTGTGTGTAATGGTATTGATGACAGAGAAGCAGTCCCCCTGAGGTCAGCGGTGATACAATTTATCAGATGGATACAGGAACATTATGGATGACAATTAGCACTAATGAGTAGTATGTACATTAGTGATCGACAGACGTTATGATGAGATAGACACTTAACCTAATGTACATAATCATCTACGCTGTGAACACATTATCAACTTAAGCTATCAACTTCATCTACAACGACCATCATTTTGGTGTTTCAAGCATGGCTACATAAAACTTTGTGCTTTGATACTTTAGAAGTTGGACCAACACCTATTACTTACAGAACTAAAACAGAATTCAATATTTTGATATTGTGTTACATCATTAGAAGTATCAAATGTTTTGGATACAGGAGATGTTTTTAGTTAATATGACTTCTTAAAATTTAACAGTTTCAGAACATTTTGTTTTGTTTTGTTTGCATAAAATTTGAGGATATTATGTGTAAAACTACAGATATCAGCTGAAAAGTGACAATAATTTACAAATGCAAAAATTCAAAGTGATTTACTTATAAAAACAATTATACCGCAAATAGTAACAAGGAGAATGTGACATTGACCAGCGAGTGCAAGTCAAGTGGCACGTGGGTACCCATATATAGTGTTTCTTCATACATCCTTGGGCACAAGTTGATTACATTTCCAATTGTTCATTTCTCATTATTACTGATCTCCCCTTGTGAATGTGTCCAACTGTCAGTCATACGTACCCAAGAAGTGCTGGGAGCCTTGTATCCTGTTGATGCTGGATTTCAAATGTGTTACTTGAATACATCGTTGGACGTCTGTGTACAGACAGTGTTCCTTCTCCGTGTAAGCTGATTTAACTTGGTACCAATTTTCTCTGTGTAATCGTCTATCTAATTACACAGAATACATTCCACTGATGACACATCGCTTCTAACATATAAGTAATGATTTTGTAAGTTGGCTCCAAAATAAGATGTAACATCGATCGAGGGTATTGGAGAAGCTGTCAATTTATGTGTTGTGTTGCCTCTGAGTGGACAGGAGTGGATGTTGTTTTCACTGACATGACCCTTGTACTATGGAGATGTGACTTGGGTAATTCATTTGGCCTTTAGCTGCTGCTGGAATAACAGACAATATGTTCTCAAAGTATACAAGACATGATCGGAGATTATCATGGCCAGGGTACCGTGCCAGAACCCTCGGCAAAATTGACGAAAACAGACCTACACAGCCAGTCGTTATTGGAGGAGAAAAGGTACTATAAATATCCATAATATATAACTATTGTATTGGAATTATAATCAACATATTCTTGTCGTTGATAACTTCTAGGTATTGGGCTAATCAGACATTTTTCCATTAAGAAGATTAACTTGTACCAAAGCTGTAGAAGGCTCTCTGTTGGTAGACATTTGAAATCTCAAGGAAATGTCAAAATGTTTAGAAATAGATTGTATTTCCACCAGTAATTTGCTTTTAGGTAGAATGAAAAGCTAATCTTGATATGTTCCTATAAAATTACAAAGAGACCTTAAACTTCACCATATAAAGTACAACACTGACAGAGATGATTTGAAGAATCTTATCAAAACTGCACATGACTGCTCCTTTTTCTATTGAACTTGTATGGTACCTTTTGTCTCTGTTTTCTAGCCTGTGTTTCAAACATCAAGTTCAATTTGCGAAAAGTTTTAATCTGGTATGAGGCTTGCAATCCTATTTTTAATGTACAAGCCCACTGGCAGATTTAGAAAATATAGTAGATGTGGAGTTAATATGAACACTGTTATGGTTAAGCCTTGGGCTTTTATAGGGTTAATGGATTAATATGCTTCATATTGAATCTCATCACAGATACTGTTTCAATCTACTTTTTGCTTCATGTGATGAGTAATTTCATGTCTTCATATAATAGTTAAAAAATTCAATATTTCTATAATCTTTGTGGTCTGAACTCTTGTTAACAGGTAGCTCATTAGTGTTGACAAGTAAAAGGACTTTCAGAGAAACACCATGTTTTATGAACTATGCCTGGCTTTGGAGGTGGGGGATTAAAAAAATAAATGTATGTGATGAATGGAAAAATTTCAATCAATAAAAATCTGTTTGGAAAATGTCTCTTTCAACACTGATGATCAAACTTAAATTTCCTTGTTAATGCTTTATAGATTGTTCGAGAAATAAAAAAAATGATATTTGAACATCTTGTAGTATGAATTCTGCAGCTGCAAAAGCAAATAGAGAGATGTGCGCAGCAGTATTTCAAGCCTTAATTGCGGACTACCTTGTGTGACACAATCCACGGTAACTGAGTTAGACTGCATCGGTCACCAGACTTAGTGTCTGCTTCGATACAACTGATATACACTCCTAGTGGACAACAACTTGATTATAGACTAGTATAGACAGCCAAGCCATCAAAGGATGGCTCCATATTTACTCCTATACTGTGGTATTATGCCGACATGTTCAATCTGGGATTCCATAAACATGTTATCTTATATTTGTGTTTTCAAGTTAGGGATAAAAAGTCCTGTGTCTAGTTTATGTGGCCATTATCTGGTGTTCACATTTGGTGCCAATACAACATACATAGATAAAACTATAAATTGTCGATTGGGAATTTTACAAAAGGAAAAATTTACTCTGAATCTTACCAACTCATGGATTTGATTGTACGTGTAGTATATTTATTTTCAATGCATTAATGAATTTGGGTTTTTTTTTTCAAAGACTACAAATGAATTTAAATGAAGAATTGAATTAACTCTACTTTTGTTGATTTCAATTATCAGTCACCAAAATTCACACAATTCCAGCTGTTGATATTTGAAAATTTTCAAGTAATATTTATATTGATAATGAATATATCATAGCTGCAAATATTGTGATGAAACAGTATATGTGGCATTGACATAAAGTCATATGTCTACTGACTCAAGGCTGCGTGACAGTTTCGAAATAAAACTTCAACCCTTAAAAGTGTTCAAGGAAGGCACGAGACAACTAACCTTATGATTTATATTGTATATGCAACATAGCATGTCAAAACTGCACATACCATTTTCTAGCCAACAGATCAAATGTATCTGTTGAAGAATTATAAAAGAAACACTTTGTCAATGAAGGACTAGCTATAGTCTTTAACATATCACAACCTTGTACAAACCAGAATCATGATTCAAGAAGGAATTGATATTACTGTCTTTAATATAGCCTTTTGTATATTGAAGAAGGAGATGTGAATGCAATGTGACATCAGTTCGTGCAATATGAATTATTTTTCAGTATCCAGAAATGTAAGGCTAGAAAAGGTTTGTCATATATTATTATTAATCATCATTGAATGTTTTTTTAACCTGAAAATGGTAAATTAATTTCAATGCATTAATAATAGTGTAACATAAGTTTAAAAAAAAATTTATGTTTGAAATGTCTCATTCATTCTATAGCATGCTTGCCAATTGTGTGGAATAGGTTAATTATGGGATTTAGTGTTGTCGCTTGGCCCAAGTTCAGTGCCTGTTATATTTTTAAAGAAGGACGTAGAGAAGATAGAGCAAAGAATTTTAATTTGTGCCATACAAACAATTTCTGATTTCAGATTTTGTTTTCTTATGTTTATCAAAAATTTTGGTGCAACACATTACGGTGTGGCATCAGTTGTCTGTCCATCACAGAGCTTTAACATTTTCTCTTTGTTCTGATAAATCATTTCTCAGTTTTTAACCAATTTCTTCACATAGAAACTTGCATTTACGTGAACAGCATTTGGATTCAACAATATTTGAAGGAGTTATTGCCCTTTGTTTATTCAGCAATGTAATCTTGTCCTCACAGTCTAAACAGATTTCTTCTCTGAGTTTTTAACTCATCTCTCTAAAACTTGGAATATTTTAATTCATCATCAAAATCAAAATTTCCCTTGGCATTTTGACTCAATACTGCCTTTTCTATACCTGTATTTATTTTGATACAAATAATGAAAAATATTGGTTTGGAATGGGATGTGTGTTTTGAATTCAATCCTGCAGTTGCCAACTCATGTTCATCTTGTATTCTTGTTCCGTTAAGTATATATGATTTCATTTTAGAGAATTTCCTAAATTTTGTTTGTGTGAATCAATATATCTTGATTCAATATACAATATCAGATTTTGTATAATATCAAATTGTATCCTGTCTAGTCTACTCTTATTTAAGTACACTCTGCTAAATTCAGTTATTAACTTTCAGCAGAATTTTATCAAGAGATTTTATCAGAAAACGATTTGGTGTGGATAAAGATGGAATGGCATTTGTACCCACAATATTTTTCTATTGTAATGGAGTTTACTTGTTAATGCAGTCCAACCTCGTTCTGCACCACAGCACTAGCAATGCAAAAGTCTATTAAAGGTTGTCTATATATTTGTTAATGTCAAATCACAAGATGCATGTGATGACTTATTAAGTGAAAACATGTGTAGTTTGGTTTTTAGCTGTTTGGATGGCTCGCTTTTCAGCTCTATGGTAGGTAAATGTACACTTTAGAGGCGGAAACTGATCGTATAAAGTTGTAAGTAGCAGGTGTATAAACAAAACCTGACACCCCTCCTATGCCATGGTTACTATTAGATACACATTTGGACAGACTGTGCCATTATCCTGAAGTAGGGTGAAAGGAATGATTTTTTGAAGGATTTGTATTCTGCTTCCTGCAATAACCTGCAGCATAAAGCCCAATGAATCAGATGAGGAAGTTGATGAAAAAGATAAACATTACAAATTATTGGACTTTGTTCTACTTCAGGTGTTAAAGAGAGTATAGCAATGCTGAAATCACATAGACATTGATTCTTCAGTATCAACTCCTCTGTTTGGACCTTAATCGATTCCTATATGATTTTCTGTGGTTTCTCTAGATGTAGAATGATTCTTTATTTTGGTAATTCAACATTGCCACATGTCCCTGACAATATGTTAAACACTGCCACATGTCCCTGACATTATGTTAAACACTGCCACATGTCCCTGACAATATGTTAAACACTGCTTCATATCCCTGACATTATGTTAAACACTGCACATATCCGTGACATTATGTTAAACATTGCCACATATACCTGACAATATGTTAAACACTGCCACATATCCCTGACAATATGTTAAACACTGCCACATATCCCTGACAATATGTTAAACACTGCCACATGTCCCTGACAATATGTTAAACACTGCCACATGTCCCTGACAATATGTTAAACACTGCCACATGTCCCTGACAATATGTTAAACACTGCCACATGTCCCTGACATTATGTTAAACACTGCCACATGTCCCTGACAATATGTTAAACACTGCTTCATATCCCTGACATTATGTTAAACACTGCCACATGTCCCTGACAATATGTTAAACACTGCCACATGTCCCTGACAATATGTTAAACACTGCCACATATCCCTGACAATATGTTAAACACTGCCACATATCCCTGACAATATGTTAAACACTGCCACATATCCCTGACAATATGTTAAACACTGCCACATATCCCTGACAATATGTTAAACACTGCCACATATCCCTGACAATATGTTAAACACTGCCACATATCCCTGACAATATGTTAAACACTGCCACATATCCCTGACAATATGCTAATCCATGTCTATGTTAGTATTGAGCCATTTGGAATAGCACTGTTCAGATTTCACGGTATAGACACCAATAAAAAGACTCTTTTTTTGTTCATCTATATTTAGGACATGATCACATCAAATCATGTCTAAGAGGATTACAGTCAGGTCACCTCTATCAATGGCTTCCAATCGTATGTCAGATGTAGAAAAGGAAATACTGCTGAAAGTACTTGAACACACATGAGCTATCCACCCAGGGGTTACCGGATTCCTAACAGTTAGGACCTTTTGAAAAGCTAAAATTTATAGAACCATTTTTTTTCAGTTAACTGTTTCTTTCAGAGCCAAATACAAGCTGCCATCTTATTTCTGTTGCCTTCTTTATGAGGGAAGGAAAATCCATGACTCTGATTGTGATGTATAATAATGACATAGCAATGCTTGTTCTCTGATTTTCTTGCTGATCAGAATCTTCCCAAGCTGTGATGACAGTGTTGGTACCGTCGACTGTACTTGTATGGATTTTTCGTTTCTGTAAAAGATGAGATATTTTCTCGAGAGCATATGTATTATCTTTCATTTATATCATGTCTATTGAAGCATTGAAGACATAAGTTGGTTTTTGGGAATTTGACATCACAGCTTAATTGTTATGGCTGTTAAGTTAATGTATACATTGGAACAATAGAAATCTCACTGTTCAGGGACATTCGTTGCAGATACATGTATTTGGAACCATTTGGATACGTTTTGAGATTAAACTCTCAATCAATTGATTTACAGGAGGTTCAGTCTGGTGGGATTGAAGTTACCTGAGTGGAATTTGGTCTGCATAGAGTTGAAATTTTTAAGTGAATATTTCCATGATAATTATCATATGATTTACTTAATACAGTTAAGTGTATAGAATTAAACTTAATGCCTTTCAGTTGTTTCAATCAAAAAAACGTTTTAAAATCTGACAAAGTGTTAGACATCCAGCATATCTGAGGACAAAGCAAAAATGTGGTTATTCTAAACAAGTGTTCCAATGAAATCCGTAAATTTATGTATCGTTCAATTAAATACATCCTAATATTATACGCCAGTCAGAATCCAACGTCAGTTGTCATCACTTCTCCTTCCATGTCAAGTTCAACTTTCTTAGGGGGCTTCGCTTATATTTTTTACCGATTTAATTCATTTTCAAGACATATAATGAACCTGATCTCTAACCTTTCCTTCTGAGGAGTTTAGCAGGAATTGTTTAAGTGGAATAGCACTCCATCTCTATTGAAAAATAATATGCTCTTGTTACTGTCTAAACCCCATTAAAAACATTGTGTAGTAAAGTTTCTTTTAGAGAAGAAAATAGTTCCTATTGCTCTGTTTGGGCGCTACTAAAAAATTACTTCCATTATTACTAGTGAAAAGAGTTGTAACCATAATATGGATGGAAGAAATATAGCTGTTGAAAGTTTGGTAGTTTGTCCTGTTTAGATATGGATATTTGAACTATGAATAACATGTAATAATGATGTGGATATTGAGGTGGAGCTTTAACACTGTGATAGTTGCAGATGGTTGTAATCTCAATTTGTAGGTAAAAAAATATTGTAGATTGATTACACATTTTTGCACTTGGGTTTTATTTTCTTTGTACAATTTATACCAAATCTGACCTTTGACCACACTTTTACATTTGGGTGTTTTTTTTGTCTCTGTACAGTTTACACTAAAACTGACCTTTGACTGTATTTATTTTCAGATGGAATGTACCTGTATGGAGTTGGCACTCGAGGGGGAAAGATTATGTAAGGCTGGTGACTGCCGTACAGGGGTTCATTTCTTTGAAGCTGCGGTACAGACAGGCACAGATGATCTCAAAACTCTCAGCGCCATCTACAGCCAACTGGGCAATGCTTACTTCTACCTACAGGAATATGCTAAGGCTCTGGAATACCACAAACTTGATTTGTCACTAGCACGGTAAGAGTATACAATTAGATTTGTAGAATTCTGCAAATTTCAAAAAGTGATCTGCTATAGATTTATGTTTTTATGTTCTTTGATGTTTTATCAACAGCCAGGGTCATTTAAGGTCAGCCTTCCAATCTAAGTGAAGTGAATGCATGGAAAATGTTAGTGTAAGACTCCTTGTGATGGCACGGAAATGAAGCTAATTCTATAGTGATACAACAGTGTTGTATACTGATGAAGACACCAGAACATCCCACCCAGTTACATTATACTATAGTGATACAACAGTGTTGTATACTGCTGAAGACACCAGAACATCCCACCCAGTTACATTATACTAGTAATGGCAATTTAGTCGTTACACTACCATAATGTTGAATGTTAAGCTGGAAATAGTAACTACCCTTTAAAGACCAGGTATGACGCGACCAGGGAACAGAACCTAAAGCCTTCCTCAAAGTGGCAAACTCTCAACTAAGGACATAAAGTGAGACAGCGTCAAGAGAGACAGGAAAAAGAAGGATCTTTAGAAAAAAAAGAGAGAAATATAAAAACACCAAGTTTAACCGCCTCTTAAAGTCAGGTATTAGGTGCAGGGATATAATTCTTTCTCGCAGGGAAGATTTTTTCTTGTAACTATTTTTGAAAATTGATTACATAAAATTTGCGGTCAAAATAATATATAAACTGAAAATCAGTAGCTTAGTTTTTTTATCTTTATACAAACACAATGATGGTGAACTTTATACAAACACAATGATGGTGAACTTTATACAAACACAATGATGGTGAACTTTATACAAACACAATGATGGTGAACTTTATACAAACACAATGATGGTGAACTTTATACAAACACAATAATGATGGTGAACTTTATACAAACACAATAATGATGGTGAACTTTATACAAACACAATGATGGTGAACTTTATACAAACACAATAATGATGGTGAACTTTATACAAACACAATGATGGTGAACTTTATACAAACACAATGATGGTGAACTTTATACAAACACAATGATGGTGAATAGATCATTTGATATGGTGGACATGTACTAGTGTCTGAGTTTCAGATAATACAATCTATGCTTCTTAATGTGCCATCAAACCTTGTAGTCACATTAATCATTCATACAAATTTTAACACAAGACAGTAAGCTGTTGACAGATGTCCTGCTTTGAGTTGTCCCCCTTTAAACATATTGCTTGTGTGTGACTGGTATACATTACATGAATACAGACATTGTAAGATGTAAGTAAGGTGTCAGTATTGTAGAGGAAATCTGTACATTCTCTTTCACTCACTTTCCAGTAATAAAGAAATTACAGTGTTCTTAAAGCAGATGTAACTGATTCAAAATTCCAATCTTTAAAAAAAAAAAGAAAATATTTCCTCAGATATTCTATATATCTAGACAGGAATATTTACACATATCCATCAAATCCACATCAACACCTAGCAAAACCTCTGACCTATTATCTCCTGATCCCAGTGTAGGCTGTGTTATATGAGCTATTCAGGGACACCAAACACTCCTTTTTATTCGACATTCACCTGTCTAACAATTTTTTATCTGCAGAACTCTTGGTGATAAGGTTGGGGAGGCAAAGGCCAGTGGTAACCTTGGAAACACACTCAAAGTCTTGGGAAAGTTTGAAGAAGCAATAGCTTGCTGTTTACGACACTTAGATATAGCACAGGAGTTAGGAGATAAGGTAAGTGACCATATCCAATGCTCTTTATTAAATTTTCACAGTGAATCACAAAGTACGTGAAATTTTACTTTGACAAGGAAAACTTATATCCCTAACAGTTAGGATGGAGGCGAGGAGGGGGAGTTATGCTTGGATCAGTTTATCGATCTAATATCTATTCTTCTGTCCAACCCTCTTCTTGGTAAAGCTTGTCATGAAAATTTCATAAAGATTCCTAAGCCATTTTCAATGAAATTTCATGTACCATGACTACCCTATGACCTTACACATCTTGGTATTATTTATACCTTTATTTTCTTTAAATTGTTTGTTATGAATTTACATCCCTTTTTTAGGTCACCTGAGACAAAGTTTCACAATGATCTAATTCTAATACCCTTAATCCAGCATCTTGTGTCCATAAACAATTTAACACTTTTGATTTCTTCTCAGAAACCCCTGATCCAATTTCAATGAAATTTTGCAGTAACCTTCCCTGGCCTAAGATGAACCAAAATTGTGAATTATGCAGTCTCCAACCCCCAGGGCCTGAGTTGATGGGGCCAAAAGTTGTCTAATTGAATCAGATTTCAATAATCTTCTTCTCAAGTCCCAGATATAGTAGAATCAAATACTCTTCATCTTAAGATGATTTACAAAAATTGGCCCCAGGGTCTCACATTTCCCTGTGGGGAGGGGGTAAAATTTACTATAGTTTATATAGGAAAACTAGATTTTTGAGCATATTTCAAATGTGCTTAGAATTATGAGAGAAGGATGACGGCCTGATGGTATGCCCGTTTTGATCCTGACTGACCCCAGGGGCTGATGGATGGGGCTAAAAGGGGTCAGATTGACTTAAATTTCAGAAATCTTCTCATAACCGTGATATGGTATAATCAAATTCTCTTCATGAATGGAAGCACCATAAGGTGCTTGAAGTACCAAAACGAGTCTCACATTTCTTCTGGGGGTGGGGGAATAGGTCTTTTAGTCTTTACTGTAATTTTCATAGAAAAATTGCATTTTTGAGCACAACATTGGATATTTCCCACTGGAAATAACTTTGTAAGAATTATCAGTATAGGATGACAGTTTTGATGGTATGCATGTATTGACACTGTCTATATTCAGTATCACAATTTCTGTTTTATGACACTTGATAACTATCCTTTAACCTTTATATTCAATATTGCTTATCTGAGGTGACCATCAAGGTCACTAGGCCTTTTGTTTCAGAAAATTGTGTGTAATGTATAAATCTTTGAATGGACAACTAAACACCCATCAGACAATTTCAATGAAACTGAATCTATAACAATAACCACTTACTGATGATTCACATCTTTTTGTTACACTTATCATTTCTTATGAATTAGTGGAATATTTCGGATAATGGATTAATAATTATCATAATAATTTTTGTCTGAACAATTTCTCCTTGTCTCTTATTGATACATAAATCTTAATTAACTCCTGAAACTGTGCTTCCAAGTACGTTATTTCTGTTACAACTTTCTATTACAGAATTAATTTTGACATCCGTTTCTTAAAAAACACCATAAATTGGAATACCAGGTTGTGATCATTTGTCAGTAGCATGCTGAATAAAGGATGACAACTTTTACCTATTTTCAAGGTCACTTCAGTGAGATTTATTTGAATTTTAAAACAATATCTTTGGAATAATCAAGAGGTTTAATTTCAGGAAGTTGTTTAAAATATGCCCAAGTCATTGTATGGAGAGGGTATATTAAAGTGTTACTTCTGATTCCCAGCCAAATTTTGTTATGTCTTGTTCCAATTCAGTGTCATAACCTCAGAAATTTTCAACAAATTTATTTTGTAGTATTAGATTCTGATTTGCAAAGGAGGGAGGGTATTTATGTCTAACGAACATTTTCTTGTTTTCAAAATGAATTTAACTTGACCCTAACGGAAAATCACAGGGCCAAAATTTGTTAAAATATTTAACAAAACTTTTTCTGAACAACCAGAATGCTGAGTATCATGATGTTTAACAAAAAAAAATGCTAGACTGACGGACTGTCAAAATCTGTAAAATGACAGCCAAGTCTGTTCAAACGAATAACCTTGACTATTTTCAAGGTCATAGAAAGAGGATATGTTGAAATCTTGAAATGAATTGCAGAGCACAAGGCTGCAGTATTTCAATAAATATCAGACTTAATGGCATGAGAGCATGGACATATGCTTTTTTAAACAAATATTTCAGACTTTGATATAAAAGCTGAATGTTTTTGTTTACCTTAGATTTCCAGTTAGAGATAAAATTTATTGCTATTATTAATAATGGAAACTGCAAAACAGCTGGATACCTGATACATGATAAATACATGATACATCAATCTCTGTGCCATATATAATATTCCATTGATTCCAGAGTCCAAGGATCTTCAGTTTTGTCATTTTATTTATAGTTTGCTAATATATTTACGTCTGATCTTAAATTGTTTATCATTGTGGTATGTCATCAATCACTGCTTTAGAATGCTTCTTATGTCTAAATAAAGATTCGCTTTTGATGGGAAATTTGTAATGCAGGTGAGTGAGGCACGGGCATTGTATAATCTCGGCAACGTTTACCATGCCCAAGGTAAACACACTGGGAGATGTACAAATGAAGATCCAGGGGAATTTCCAGAGGAAGTGCGCACATGTTTGCAGAAAGCTGCTGAATATTACGAGTAAGAATATATATCATTATCTACTTGACTATTCATAGTCAGTAAGGGTCATGTTTGGGGAGACACTAAGGTTTACATTTCACAGGAAAATCTATACTAACAAAACAGGACAGGTACGACATAGTTACACATAGTTCTTGTTATAATCACCCTGACTTGTTATCAATTGTCTTTACTAACATCTGATAAGACTTTTGTAGACAAATGCAATCAGATAAAAGCACAAAGTAATAATACTGCTATGTTTAGTACTTTTCAGCTCATAGCATAAATTCATTTAATTGAGTCGAAAAGATTATTAAGTTGATTTCTTCTTTTTTTGTGTAGGAAATATCTTGACATTGTTTTTAATAATAAAATGAAATATTGAATACATGTACCAGCAATATGGCAAAGTGTACAAATTTCACTTGATTAATTCACTTGTTACATGATTGTACATACAGAATTGAATTTAAAATCACTATCCTTATATTTTTTTTCACCTTCAATTTTGCAGAGCTAATCTACAAATTGTAAAAGACCTCGGAGACAAAGCAGCCCAAGGTCGGGCTTGTGGTAACCTTGGTAACACCAATTATCTCCTTGGAAATTTCAGTGAGGCAATTCAGTACCACGAAGAGGTAAGAAAGTGCCCATACAACTGATCTGCCTGTGAAATGTACACACATACATCATATTCATTTACAAGCTGACCCTTGTCAAGATTATCATCATTGATATTATGCAACCACACATTGAAATAATCATTTTTTATTTGTCCCCATCATATGGTGGTTTTGCTTTTTCTTGTTTATCAGATAGAATATCAAGGATTTATGCCTCTTTTATGGAAATGGTTATATGAATTGGTCAGTAACCATGTCCTATTCCTAATATACTCCCTTACATAGAATGTAGAGAAATATACTAGAATCAGGGTGTCTGTCTTTCTGTCCAGTCATTCATAAGTAGGTATCATTGTTTGAGTTGTTTAAGCTCTTTTGAAACTTTATTCATGGTAATTTGTACACAAAAGTAGCTCAAGTTACATCACAATATTTCATTGGGTTTTAGAGGCTTGCAATAGCCAAAGAATTTGGAGACAAGTCCGCTGAGAGGAGGGCATATAGTAACCTTGGCAACGCTCATATTTTTCTTGGGGAATTTGAAGTTGCAGCTGAACAATACAGGTATGATATTCTTGCTGAATATTGGTCATATTTCTTATGATTATATTTACCCACTGCTGCTGGTCTGGGCATTGAATATATATATATATATGTGTGTGTGTGTGTGTGTGTAAGTGTTTACTTTTGTTGGAATCCCTGGCTGATTCCAGGACTTGCTTTTATGCCCACTACATGAGAACTCTCAAGGAACCATTCCAAACAGTGACAAATCTGCTGCATACATTTTACCGTGGTAATGCCTGTCAACATCTCCATGTTTGGACTGGAGCCTTTAGTTTCGGTGTTTGAAATCCCAAGTCTAAATGTGTTGTCCAGAATTGGATATTTTTGATAATGGAAATATAGTATTTTCTCTTAGTTAATAGCTATTTTGTTTCCTTCTTAAACTGACAGTAAATAGGCAGTAATAAGATTTGCAAGCACAAACATGATTAAAGTAATGAAATAAATATATCCAGTTCGTGATCATAGAAGTCTTTAATAGACTTTGTTTTCATGTTAATGAATAAAGATGTACACTTGTATAATAGACATGAGAGTAAATGTTGAGGTGTTTTTTACCCAATACACCATGGATATTAAATGTCTCGCTTAAAATCTGTCTTGTTAACAAGAGAATAGTATATGGTTAGGATACACACATGTATAAGCATATTTTATTAATTTGTAGATCTAGTTTAAGGTGACAGGTTAAAAAAATCTAGATACTTTGTTTCGAGTCAGAGATAAGTGTACGCTTGTAATAACAATTATACAACAGTTCAAATATGTCAGAAAAGTGTAAATTTAGGTTCGCTGTTGGAAAGGAAATAAAACTACATCTATACATTACTAATAGAACAACAACTCAGAAAATGTAATAGCTCTGAATTGTCTCGCTGTGATTTGTTTATCACAACAGACTTTGATGTTTTATAGAGAAATTTGGCACGTTAAGATATTGCTATCAATTTCTTAACATTGTTGAATTGATCATTGCTGAAAAACTTGGTGTGTAATAATAGAAAAGTTTAAACGATTGCTGACTACTCTTGATGTGACAAGGTGAATCTTTAGAATAGTCGATAAATTTATTCAGTTATTTCATTTATTTTTAGATATTTAAACATCTTTCCAAAAGCTAATAACATATGAAAAAGATGGTGAGAATTTAGTCTATATATGAGAACAGTACATACTGCTGAGACAAATTTTGAACATCATAGATTGCTGAATATCTTTCGCTAGTTATGGTAGGATAACTTACTACAAATTTGTTAACAAGTTTTATTTGTTTTTATGAAGGACAATTATTTGTTGCCATAAACATATATGTTTTTGTTTTATAGGAGAACACTTCAGATTGCTAAACAGTTGGGAGACAAGGCTTTGGAAGCTCAGGCCTGCTACAGCCTTGGAAACACATTCACACTCCTTCAGGACTACGAGAAGGCCATCGAATATCATATGAGGCATCTAAAAATAGCACAAGACCTGAATGACCGTGTGGGTGAGGGCAGGGCATGCTGGAGTTTAGGCAACGCTCACTCTTCATTAGGGAACAATGAGGTAGCATTGGAATTTGCCAGTAAACACTTGCAAATATCTAAAGAGGTAAGATAAGAAAATTATATTTTACAAAAATGGTCATCATGTTATTGTTTTGACCAGTCTGGTAGGCTTCTTGGCCTATTTTGACCAGTCTGTTTGTCTGGTAGGCTTATTGGCCTGTTTTGACGAGTTTCTTACTCAGGTAGGCTCCTTGACCTGTTTTGACCAGTCCACTCCTTGATCTGTTTTGACGAGTCTGTTACTCTAGTAGTCTCTTTGACCTGTTTTGACCAGTCTCTTAATCTAGTAGTCTCTTTGACCTGTTTTGACCAGTCTCTTACTCTAGTAGTCTCTTTGACCTGTTTTGGCCAGTCTCTTACTCTAGTAGTCTCTTTGACCTGTTTTGACCAGTCTCTTACTCTAGTAGTCTCTTTGACCTGTTTTGACCAGTCCACTCCTTGATCTGTTTTGACAAGTCTGTTACTCTAGTAGTCTCTTTAATCTGTTTTGACAAGTCTGTTACTCTAGTAGTCTCTTTGACCTGTTTTGACCAGTCTGTTACCATAGTAATCTCTTTGACCTTTTTCTATGTTGTGAAATAGTGCTATACATATGTGCTGGTTATATTGATAATGTTATCCTGCCTGCTTTAGGTTGATGAGATATTTGTATGAATATTTATCTGTCAATAAGCACATGTCTGAAAATAAGCCCACCAATATCAATTAAAACTACAAATCAATACTATTTCAATGTATTTTAATAAGCCCTTGACTTTTAGTCAAAGCTTATGTGCTCCAGCCCATTAGCCTGATGACAGGATATGTATATATAGTATCAGAAATAGAAGTAAGATTTTGTACTATCTCATTAATATTAAAACATAACTTAAAATCCAAGTTGGATGATGGAGCCAGCTTGTGATAGTAAATAAGAACTTTTTCAACACACTAAGTGAGATAGATATAAGTCATTGTAAATATATTTTGTTTTTTGCATCTGATCATACATCATCACTCTGTTTTTATCACTTTCATATAGATCTGATTCATTGTGTTCTGTAAGTTTAGTAGTTATCATTATGAAAGATCTTTAACTTAATTGTCTTGTGTTTAATTTTGTATTTCAACGTTAACAGATTGGTGATGAAAATGGCCAATTTTCGGCTCAGATGAACCTGGCAGACCTGAGGAATGTACTGGGAATAAACATGTGCTCTGCTGAATCTACTACAGGGGTGATTAGGTGAGGCCTTCGCAACTCTTCATGTTATGTTTAATTGAAAGCAACATTAAGTTATTTTTCATAGTTCAAAAATTCTTGGTTTCCTACAATAACGTTGTAGATGGAAGTATCACAAATTGAGTTAAATGAATCATGTGTAGCAGAATTAAAAAAACTAGGTAATTATATCAGTATAGCCATGATATACCCCGACAAATTTCATAACACAGTTACCGTTCAAAGTAGCTTAATCAAAACAAAACTTAAATAATGATTTTCATTGAATTTTTGGTAATTTTAGGAAATTGGGGTTTCTGTGTTTGCTCTGATTTTAGGAATTTGGAGTTTCTCTGTTTTTCATAGCTAGACTTGTAGCATCACTTATGTTCAAAATTAGACCAAGTTTCCTCAGTCTTTATGGTGATGTGACCATATTTGTCATGTTCTCCTGACCTATAAAGGTCTGACAGGGCCATCATCAACCATTACCATCCAGTCCAGAACAAATTCAGTCAGTTAGGGATGGTATACTTTGGTCATACTGTCATAAATTATTTCCAGTGACCAATAAAACATGATGTTGTTTTAACCATTATGTTCTAATCTAGACCCCCCTGTCAATTTTAAACATGTTCTCACATAGTTGGTAGAAAGCTGATGTTTATATAGATGTAGGGAAAAGAATTCTTAATCTCAGATGAAGAAGTTTGTGTCCAAACTCCAACAGCTAAAACTCTTGAGTTCCATTTCTACATCCCAAGGCAGAATTTCCTTAACTCCAACACATATATAGATAAAACCCCACACCTATACATATATATAATAGTTGGTAGTAGCAGTAATCTGGCAGGTCAACTTTAAAGGTCATCAGAGGCTTAAGATTAATTTTCCGAGGGCATATTGATTGGGCAGACAGATTGGTTAGACAATAAGATAGAACAGGCCTGCTAATAGTAATACAGGATCTGAAGGAGCTTGTTCAAAACTTAACAGAAAGCAAAGTAAGATAAGTTAAAGTCTGTCTCCCTTTATAAATATTCTTAGGCCAAGTGGTCAGACTAATAGAGTGAATTATCAATGGATGTTTTCACTGGTAATCAGCAGTGTTCTACAGGAAACTTTTTAGTTTCTCTGTTAATAATATTGGTTCTTATGTTGCAGTCATGATGGCAATCTAAAGGATGAAACAGACCTTGCTATAAGTAAGTAATATTTTTATAAACACTTCATAGTATAAGGTGAACTTTTTTTATGAAATTACAGTACATTAGATGTAATAATTAGTAGCTCTGATCAGATACATGAATATATCAGAAGACAAAAAGTTCCATTAAGGGGGGATAACTCCTCGGAAAAAGTCTAGCGTCCAAGTGCTCAGCAATAATTTATGATGTCATATTAGGATTATTGAATGGAATGGAAATTTGAGGATAAGGCCTAATCCTGTAGATTGGCTGAAATATCCTGATTTCTCCTGCAATAAGTCCAGTAAGCTGATGTAAAAATTCAGTCTCCATATCAAAGTGTTGGCTTATTGTAGGACACAGAAATCGCAGTATGTATGGTCATTTTACCAGGCTAAAGACATTATAGGATAATTGTAAGCAGGATATAGGGTATAAACACAAGTTCTGTTTTAATTGATATATTCAAATAACTGACAGAATTTTCCATATTCTTTTTTATGGGAATATGATTATATCTTTATAAACAGTACAGTTAATGTCAATCTGACTTATATGAATGATACCATCATATACTCCATTCTTCTCGACCACAGGCAGACGACCTTTCAGGCGACACAGCATGGAAAACATGGAACTAATGAAGCTAACACCTGACAAAAAGGTCTCACTGTCTAAACTTTTCTACTCACGTTGATTAACTTATTTACATAACATTCAAAATAAGTATACATTTCAATTTTTTTTTAAAGAAAAAGATGATGGAACTAATTGATAAATATAAATATAGGAAATCCATTTGGTAGGTTAGGCTATAGCTATTTATAATGTCCTTAAACTTATTGCCAGAGCTCTGACATTCGTCAGTGAGACAACGCCTGGCGATAGGTAGACTCAATGACACGTAAAACCTGTAACAACCAACCAACCAATCAGTGTCCTTAGTAGAACTTTTGATATAATTTACATTATGGTGTCACATTACAGGGTGCCCTGCCTACTGCCAATGGAGGGGCGCGACCAAAGGTTCCCAAGTTCCAAAAGGCAGCCAGTATAGCTTCTAATTCAGAACTAGAACACAGACCAAAGCTGAGTAAAGATAAGGTAGATTTCTTATATGAAATTGAATCATTTAAAACAATCAATGGTGACAGGATTTACTGTACATGCAATTAGTTGTCAGGAGATCTCTCCATTACTTACATGTTTCCTTGAAACATGTGAAGGTTTATCATCATGACATGTAGTTGTGTTTTCTGAAGTAACTTAAAGATTGTTTTTGAAAGAGATTTAGTTCTTTTATTAGAATTTTTTTCTGATACTTTTTCATTCAATTTTTAGATAATCATTCTAAATTTCTCAACTCTGATTTTAAAAAAAAAACAAAAAATGAATTTGTCATATAAGCATTTTTTTTCAGTTTATTTATTTTCATGTCCAGACTATAACTTTGCCCATAGTTCATGAAGACTATGAAACTTGATATATAAGTTGGTCATACTAAAGGGATGTGCTGTATACTAAATGCAGGGCCCTCAATCCCTAAATTGCAGCGTTACTGCCTTTTATTAAAATTTCATAATTTCATATTCCCATGAAATTTGTATCAGTCCATTGACACAAGTCATGGAAATTTTGTAGTACATTTTCCATTGAACTTCATTTCAGTCTGTAGACACAAGTCACGGAGATGAAGACAGCTTTTTTGATCTAGTCAGTAAGTTCCAGAGCAGGCGAATTGATGACCAACGATGTTCTTTTAAGATAGAACCTTCAATGCCAACCCCTAAACCTCCTGTTCCAACAGTGCCAGTGGTGACAAAGAAATCCAGTGTGGCAGCAGGTAATACAGGGAGGTTCTGTTCCCAGGCTTATAGAGGGTCACATCACCTTATACCATAAGGAATTGTGAACTGTTCTTTAGTCTTCTGTCTACTTCTGATTGGCTATTAACAAATGTCCATTATTGTTCTAGCAGTTGTCTGTTTTGCTGGAACTACCCAGCCAATAATCTTCTTATCAAATCTTTACACAGGACGGTAAATGAAAATAGGATATAAACAAACTTCCAAACATTTTAGTGAAATTTTGGAAAGGATTTTTAATATCACAAGTTTCTTTTGATTTAAAAAATCTTGTTAGTTTTTGAATATTATTGTTCATAAAACAGACAATTAAGTCAGACTTATACCTGTGCTTATGTTTCTCTGTTCAGGTTTTTCATGTGGACTATATAGGGCCAATCATGGGCCGCATTCTGAATAGAATAATCAAATATTTAATATGCACTTTTCGTAAAATTTACATTTTACTCTTAAAAATTTGCTTTCTAATTTATCTGTTTTCTTTGAAAAATAAGAGAGCAAAGCGCCCATCCCAAAAACATAATTATAGTTATTCTGCATTCTCCATTTTTTTTCATTAGCCCCTAACATCTTTATAGTAAATGTCTTCAATTGTGTAGCCTCAACAGTTGCTCAATCAAGGTGACCGTTCTCTGTCATTATGCATCATTGTTGGTATCCTGCAATTCCTGTTCAAAGGTTTTTTGATGTACAAAGCCAGTGAATATTTGTTTAATGCCACAGATTAATTAGAATTCATCATGTACCAAACTTTTTTCGGTGTCATTTTTTTTTTTTTTTTTTTTTAATTTTTTTTTTTCCTTACCTTGAAGCATCAGAAGGAAATGAAGAGTTCCTTGACATGGTGGCAGGAATTCAAAGTTCACGGATGAATGACCAGAGAGCAGCTCTGCCACAGTTTCCTGGATTGAACTCGCAGGCTGTCATTGACCAGTTTCTGAAGCAGAGAAGTGATTCCCATGTTCCAGATGACAACTTCTTTGAAATGCTGATGAGATGTCAGGTACAGTGATAACACAAACTGATTATCATAATTAAGCCACTAGTGTGTGTAGTGCTTTATCAATACAGACACATGTATCATGGCCAGCTAAATTTAAAGTAATATCACCAGTCAACACTCAAGTATTCCTAGTTCACTGATCTCCAGGCGGCCAGGCAGTTTGAGACAAACCAAAAAAACAAGATCAATATGGCAAACAGATATCCACAAGTCAGGTGGCTTATTGTGATCACCTTTTTGACACAACTTGAGGGTGGCTCTTGAACATCATTTCCAATGAAGTGTTGATAACAAATTGTACAACGTTGTTGTATGATTACGCCCGATTGATGTAGCTGTGTAAGTGGTGCAGCAGGATGATATATTGTAATACAGGATGTCTTTCTTACAGTACATGTATATATCAATCAGCGTATCAAAATTAATATCAAACTATTTATAAGTTCCTATGTTCAGAAAAAAATAAGTAAACAAACTGTTTGTTTCAGTTTCTATTTGTAAGAATAATTGATGTTTTACTTTTTTTAGTAAAATTATTTGGATAGTTTACAGAAAAACGATAACATCTATTTGAACTTTTCCTGTAGTTGTAAATTAACAGTCAACAATACAGATCATTCTCTGATTAATTATTGGAGTGAGAAGTAAGGATCTCTAGGTTTGAACTCTTTCAACACAGTTAGATATTCACTAGAGAACAGTGACATGATCTGTACAGGAGGTAATTGTAATTCATACACACATTTCAGAAATTCCCATTCTGGCCTTTCAAGGAATGTTTCTCAACAAAACTACACTGATAATTTGACAGATAAGGATGGTATTAAGCTATAGCTTAATTATGCTACTTAATTATAGACCATAGAAAACTCTTGACCATATGACTAGATATATTGCAAAACTTAGATCATGTGATCAGGCAGGGATATGACCATATGATAAGTGTAAGACTTCATTGATAGCTCAACCATGTGACAAGGGCATACAGAACTACCATAATAGCTTGATCATATAACTAATGCAAGACTAAAATGATAGATTTATCTTGTGACTTCAGCAAAACTGCAGGGATAGCTTGATCATATGACTAGGGCAAGACTGTAATGATAGCTTGATCATGTGACTAGTGCAAGACCGCAATGGAAATTTGATCATGTGACAAGGGCAAGACTGTAATGATAGCTTAATCATGTGACTAGGGCAAGACTGTAATGATAGTTTGATCATGTGACTAGGGCAAGACTGTAATGATAGTTTGATCATGTGACTAGGGCAAGACTGTAATGATAGCTTGATCATATGACTAGGGCCAGACTGTAATGATAGCTTGATCATATGACTAGGGCAAGACTGTAATGATAGCTTGATCATATGACTAGGGCCAGACTGTAATGATAGCTTGATCATGTGACTAGGGCAAGACTGTAATGATAGCTTGATCATATGACTAGGGCCAGACTGTAATGATAGCTTGATCATGTGACTAGGGCAAGACTGTAATGATAGCTTGATCATGTGACTAGGGCAAGACTGTAATGATAGCTTGATCATATGACTAGGGCCAGACTATAATGATAGCTTGATCATGACATGTGACAAGGGAAAGCCTGTATTGATAGATTGATCATGTGACAAGGGAAAGACTGTATTTATAGCTTGATCATGTGACAACGGAAAGACTGTATTTATATCTTGATCATGTGACAAGGGAAAGCCTGTAATGATAGCTTGATCATGTGAAAAGGGAAAGACTGTATTGATAGCTTGATCATGTGACTAGTGCAAGGCTGTAATGATAGTTTGATCATGTGACTAGTGCAAGGCTGTAATGATACCTTGATCATGTGACTAGTGTAATACTGCAATGACAGCTTGATCATGGCATGTGACTTGTGTAAGAAAAGGGAAAGACTGTATTGATAGCTTGATCATGTGACTAGTGCAAGGCTGTAATGATACCTTGATCATGTGACTAGTGTAATACTGCAATGACAGCTTGATCATGGCATGTGACTTGTGTAAGAAAAGGGAAAGCCAGTATTGATAGCTTGATCATGTGACAAGGGAAAGCCAGTATTAATAGCTTGATCATGTGACAAGGGAAAGCCAGTATTAATAGCTTGATCATGTGACAAGGGAAAGACTGTATTGATAGCTTGATCATGTGACTAGTGCAAGGCTGTAATTACAGCTGATGTTTCTGGGACAGTACTACAGTCTTAGGTTGATAATTTGATAATGATTGAGCTACGATCAAGGGTCAATCATGGTAAAGGGGAGGGTGACATTTATTGATGGAAAATTTCTTTTAAAAATAAAGGAATACTGACTGATATTGACAATAATTCACATTTTTTGCATGCATGCTGATGTCAGTAGAATGACTATCAGAAAATCCTGTCTGTGTACAACATGACATAGATAGACTACAAGGACCATACGTGACAACATACATGACTCTAGTTTGATTAGAATTGAAACATTGTGTAAGGATTATGAGTGACCAACTTTACACTCAGACCTCATTTGTGGCAGTGGGTAAGTCACTCTGTTGCAAAGAATGCCATACATATGTAATATAACAGACACACTGCACAGATCATAATAATGTGACCTGAATTCTTATTTCAATTCGATGGAATTTATAAAGGTCAAAGACACACTAGTAAAACATTGCTTTCCTAGTACATGTTCTGGTTATCCTAACCTAAGCTAAGCATTAGTACTACTAGGCAGTATTAAAAATTAGTGCTGGTCAAGAATTCAAAGAGTGGTTAAATCATAGATTCATGGTGTGAAACTGGACAGTACCTTAACATAGGGTGGCTTTAAATCCTGTTTTTGACCTTGTATGAATTCCTCGACAACCTCTTTGATTTTTATACATCATCCTTGCTGCACCTTAGCTACTCAACCACTCTATAATTATGTCTACAAGTGTTGTTTTGAAGATGTAAACCAGGTTTGTTAAATATGTGTTAGGTCTATGTTGACAAGTGGTATATATATTTAGAGGGATTAACCCTTAGAAAACACCTACATGTAATGTCAGGTCGGACTAAGTTTATTTCTCGATGCTGCATTGGTCAGTGGTGTTCTCAAAATTAGACCCAGCAATTCTAAAATTATCAAAATCTGTCAAATAAAATTAACTGGTTTTTATGAAAAGCTGATTCTTTTGTTATTGAAATGCCAACATACAATTTCCTTAGTAGTGAAATACATACTCTGATCTCCATGAAATATTAAATTCATGAAACAGGTTAAATAATTGTACATGCTGCTTGCCTGTAAGTTTATGACACACTGGACCCACATGTAATACACCTATATTCACTTTTTGTCAGAATTTTACTAGATTGTCATCGGTTGTGCTTAACCAATTTTTTTTTTTAATGGAGCATGACATTGTTGATATTTTTGGTTTGTTGCTTGTCTGTGATGTACTTTGTAAACATTCTTCTTAAAGACCTACCCTGTTATTACAGTTTTGTTTAAATTTGAACACCTGGTAATGCGTTCCCTACATATCTTTTACCTGGTAATTAAAGTTTATGGAAAACACAAATTGTTACAGAACATAGTATAATGACACAGTATTTTAAAGTGATGTTGAATATTTGATTGAGAATTTAAACTAATTGATTTGAGGCATATAATCTATAAATAAATCTTTATTTCTATTTTCTTATTTTGATTTTTGATGTGATGATGTTGTATAAAAATCTTGTCTTGTCTTCTTTAATTTTCCTCAGTACTTGTTTCTTTTCAATACACAGGGTTCTAGGATTGAGGACCAAAGAAGTTCATTACCACAGTCAAACATCCCTGCTCCGACAGTGCCAGACGAAGATTTCTTCAGCCTCATTCAGAAGGTCCAGTCATCGCGATTGGAGGAACAGCGCACTAGCTTACCAGACAAACCAACAACAGAAACACAGGGAAAGAAAAAGAAGAAATGAACAGTTGACGAATGTTCAATAAAATCATACACAGTCATTGGCTACTTATTCCAAGGCCTGTTTGTAAATCGCCATGGAATGTTAGCCAATCGTATCAAGGGTTATCGAGACCCCTTACTCCAATACATAGGGTGCTTCCTGTACAATTTTACTTGTGTCGGTAAAACATAAACAGGACAATTCCGATCCACAGGGATGTTTTAATGAAACAGGGATGTGACAATAATGGGCCGTCCACGGTGTCCACAGAGGGTTTGGCAGCTGATATTGCTGTGAGTTTTACCTGATACTGAAAGTGTGAAACAACAATCTGATATGTCCACCTTATACAGAAAACAAAAGGACATATCACTCTGGATAGTGGACCAAATCGCTCACAATGCTTTATATTTTGAATGGTGACAAAGGAATCGGACCATATGTTGTCAAGCTCTAGATATTCCTCCTATTCGTCAATATATATCTTTTTGACTATGATTTTAGCACACATTTTAATTATGCGCCCAAGCTTTGTACTCATGGACAAACACAGTGTGTATGTGTTGGAATTTGCTGGTAAATAAGACTTCCAACTATTCATGCCTGTCATAAATACATGAGATATGAAAATATTTTCTGAAAAGGTTTCCAACTAAAAGTATAAGGCCATCTTGCATTAAGTGTGCCACCATATTGACAGAGATGAGAGTGGACCTGAGTCAGGACCACACGAGGATGGGAATGTCTATCGGTCACTGTACCCATACTTCGTGGCAGTCCAACAGGACATTCATATTTTTCAGTGCATTCTTGTTATTTATTTGTCTTTTTTCATAAACGTTGAATACCCAGTCCATGCATTTCAATTTAGATTGTCCATGTCATTGTATGTAAGTATGTGTGGCATAATTTTATCATTTACCAAAAAAAAAATTGATATCAATTTTTTTTCTAGCCATTGATTTTCCTTGAAAATTATCGGAACATCAAAAGAAGCAGTATTTTTTATCATATCTATTTTCCTTGAACCAGATTGCTTATTTATATCAATTTGATAGACTTTTGACATCAGATTATAATCTTGTATATCTGTGCTTGATTAGATAAACGTTATGGGTTATGTCTTTCTTAATCAATTTCACATAATTATGTAAGCAGTTTGAATAACATTGAGCATTTTCCATGCTCATTTAAAGTGCTTAGTGATGAGAACGGCTAAATATGTCATCAGTGTGTTGCTATAGATAGCTGTGTCGCTAAACCATGATGTATGTTAAATAACACCTGTCACACTGTTATAGTACAACATAGGTATGGTTATAATTTGTGATACACTCATTATACTTAGCATCACATTTTGGTTATATATCTCAACATAAAACACATTAAACAATGTGTACTATTAAAGAAATTTTCGAATCGGAGGTAAATGTCAACTTTGAAAAAAAATAAAGAAATACAAGACTTTAGATATATTGTGATGAAAGAAATCTAAGTTTTTCTGCTACACATATCACAGGACTATCATCATCAGGAGGAACGCTAATATTGATATATGTGGCTTATATATGTATTTATCAGTATCCATGGAAACTGTCATCAGTATAGCTTAGAACCCAACAAAATGGAATTTTGAAGCATATCAAAATTGGATACTGGATATTATTGCTTTAATTTTTTATTAATCATCTTATTCATCTTTACTTCATGATAAGAAATAGTGTGATGATAGTTCTACCAAACATCATCAGTAGCCATTTCAAGTGTTATTAAACACCAGCTGATCATACAGCTGCCTTTTTATCAGATAATGTGCCTGTGATTTTGTAAAACTTTACAGTCTGTTCTGGCATTGTATTCATTTTTACCAGCAGTAAATTTTGTTTGCACAATATTGATCATGACTAAAAGCACTATACCTCTTATAATGGATTAGGAATTCATGATATATTTTAATCATAGCAAAAACGATTTTATAAAATGTTAACTTTTCATCTTTAAAGATGATCTTTTTGATGGTTACTTGTTCAGCAAAGGGAAAGTCAGATGACATCACAATTACATTTCAGTATATTCACAAAATATCAAAATGTGTCATATGAATAAGAGTTTGTCATAGTGGCTTTAATGTTAGTTCTTACTCTCAGAATATTTCTCTGACAAATAAACTGGTGACTTTGTCAGGCTATATCTCTCATGCAAGTCAGGCTTCCTTTGGATCTCGGGTAAGCATGATATGGAATGAATCCCTACAGGATTTTCAGGGGTCCCACTGCACTGCAATGCCAGAAGAATTTTATTGAGTTTGAAGACATTTGAAAACTTCCTCTTTTTTTTCATATCGGAAAAATTGAAAGATGGCACAGGTATAGATGTGATGTGGATTAAAGATTAAAACAAAGAGTGGAAGGGGACGAGGCATTACACTTTGTAGGTCCTTCCACACTCTCTAATTCAATTGACCAGAGCTGGACAAATCCTAAAGAAGTGGGTCTTTCATATAAAGATATTTTGTAATTTGAATAGCAGCATTAATTTTGTATCAGATTGAAGATATTTTCTGCAGTATTTTTTTATCTTTAGATTGAAAAGCATCTATAACACTTAACAGAAAAATGCACAGATATCTGTAGATAGTTAATACTTTATACGACACAAGACAAGTCAAGAAAGGGTTTTCTCACTCTGTTCCAACTCAAGACAAAAGTCTATGAATATAAAGTGATGAAGTCTAAAACTCCTGTGAATGACTGTGGTATTCATTTTGGGTTATCTAAAAGGACAGTTTACTGATAATATAAATACCATGACAACATAATTTCAGAGAGGAGTATGGTTTTAATGTAAGTTTGATAACACACTTTTATTTTTCACTCTTTAGTTAGTCCTAAGGGGGTCTGAATGTGCTAGTCCTAAAGGGTCTGAATGTATACTAAAGTATCTGGTAAAAGGTGAAGCCAAAATATTGAGAAAGTACCAGCTAAGAAATTATTGTATTAGAGACAAGGTTTCAGAAGGGGACAGGTTGGTGATGTATTAGAGACAAGATTTCAGAAGGGGCCAGGTTGGTGATGTATTAGAGACAAGACTTCAGAAGGGGCCAGGTTGGTGATGTATTGTATTGGAGACAAGACTTCAGAAGGGGCCAGGTTGGTGATGTATTAGAGACAAGACTTCAGAAGGGGCCAGGTTGGTGATGTATTAGAGGCAAGATTTCAGAAGGGGCCAGGTTGGTGATGTATTAGAGACAAGATTTCAGAAGGGGCCAGGTTGGTGATGTATTAGAGACAAGACTTCAGAAGGGGCCAGGTTGGTAATGTTGGTGATGTATTAGAGACAGAAAAGACTTCAGAAGGGGCCAGGTTCAGTAAGGGGCCAGGTTGGTAATGTATTAGAGGCAAGATTTCAGAAGGGGCCAGGTTGTTGATGTATTGTATTAGAGACAAGACTTCAGAAGGGGCCAGGTTGGTGATGTATTAGAGACAAGACTTCAGAAGGGGTCAGGTTGGTGATGTATTAGAGACAAGGTTTCAGAAGGGGACAGGTTGGTGATGTATTAGAGACAAGACTTCAGAAGGGGCCAGGTTGGTGATGTATTAGAGACAAGACTTCAGAAGGGGCCAGGTTGGTGATGTATTAGAGACAAGACTTCAGAAGGGGCCAGGTTGGTGATGTATTAGAGACAAGACTTCAGAAGGGGCCAGGTTGGTGATGTATTGTATTGGAGACAAGACTTCAGAAGGGGCCAGGTTGGTGATGTATTGTATTGGAGACAAGACTTCAGAAGGGGCCAGGTTGGTGATGTATTGTATTGGAGACAAGACTTCAGAGGGTGCCAGGTTGGTGATGTATTAGAGACAAGACTTAAGAAGGGGTCAGGTTGGTGATGGTATTATATTGGAGACAAGGTTTCAGAAGGAACCAGTTTGAAGATAGTTTCAAATTGGAAGAGAAAATTTAAAACAGAATTAAGGTTAATAATAGTATTGTAGTGGTTATTATATTGGAGCAAAAAGGTTTAGAGAAGGACCAGGTTGATGATGTCAAACTAACAGTAACAGTAATCTATTACCTGGTATGTAAGGATCTCAATCATAATGGTGCAGGTTTGTCATTTTTATGGTCATCATTATCCAACATCTAATAACATGCTTATACTTACTGCTTTCTATCACAGATATGTTATTTGTTTGCATCAACGTTTTGCTGCATTTTTCCTTTAATTGATAGAAAGATAGTAAACAGAAAATTTAACAGTTTCTTGTGGAATATATGTATTTCATATACCAGGTATATATATTTCAGAATATGTTACTGTTTTATCATTCTCATGCATTATTCACAAGTTTTAAAAAGTAAATCATAAAATATCCTCCAAGTAGAAAATTCATTTCTTACAAATTGATGAGAAGGAGGTGAAAGAAAAAATAAGTTTGTCCATGTGTATGTACAACGTGGGGGAGTGATTTGAGGGAAATATAGAAATAGGCTTGTAACACAGGAAAACCTGGATCAGTAACAGACTTAACTTTTACAGCCTTAAAGATAGAACATGTCTATCATTCTTATAAATTTAACAATTGATACTTTGAGTGATTATATCACAATAGAATACTTATATAACTGTTTGTAATTTAATTTGCTTTCAGAAAATATCATAAATCATTTTAACAATTTTTCTGACCTTTCATTGTCATCATATAAATTTAATTGCAATAATTAAATGGTAGTTGATAATGTGTATCACAGATTTTACAATGTTGTATACTTGTATACCTAGGTGAATCATTTGACCAGTTCATATGTTATTCTTTTGTCATTATTAGATTTTTAGAATTTTGAAATTAAAAAAGAACTATTCCCAGAATGTATTAAGGAATAAATAAACAGTGTGGATATATATATATATATATGTAGGCATGCTTTTATCGTCTCTATTTTGTGATGATCATTAAGTGTTACACGGGTGAGAATCATTGTGCATATTCTTAAGCAATGACAACGATGTACATATAACAATT